TAAATGCCTTGAATTGCTCTATTAGAATGCCTCGGATGGAAGACATATTATACTATAAAGATTTGTATAATCCCGTCAATGGTGATGAGGCTAAAGAAAACAAGGAAGACAAAGAATGGGCAATTGAATCGGAAAACGGTTGGATTTATTCGATAATGGATTGATTATTGTTTTCCATCATGTTGCTCAAGAAACGAAAGCTGATACTTTGTGAAAGAAATTACAAAATCTCTATGAGAGGAGAACCCCACAAAATAAGCTTTTTTAGTTAAAAGACTTGTGATTTGAGCTACAAGGAGGGAAATAGCATATCAGAACACTTGAGTGAATTTTCAAGATTTGGTAAATCAATTGATAAATTTTGAGATTGACCTTGGTGATCTGTTGCAATCATGTCAATTGCTTGATACTCTCCTCGACAGTCGGGATACCTTGGTTGTTGCATTGAACAATTCTATTCCTTACGGTGTGTTTTCTATGAGCATGGTTAAAGAAAACCTATTCAAAGAAGAAACCATGAGAAAATGCATTAATTATGCTTTTAAATTGGAGGCTCCTGTCATAGAAAATAGGGTGAGAAATCAATCAAGAATTTTTAGAGTAATGAAAATAGAGGCAAGCCAAGTGGAAGGTCGAAATCAAGGTCAAGGAGTGTGGAGTGTTACAATTGTGGCAAGATGAGATATTATGCTAGAGAATGCAAGTTTCCAAAAAAAGATAAATCACATGATGGAAATGGAGATAGAAAGAAAGAAGAGAAACAAGTTACAACAACAATTGCATCCGATGACAATATTGTGTTCATTTGTGGCGATGCTTCTATGAACCTTACGTGTTAAGACTTTAACTGGGTTGTTGATTTTGTAGCTTCATTTCATGTCACATCACTGCGTGATTACTTCACTATCGCAGCGGTGATTTTGGTTGTGTTATGATGGGAAACAATGGTGTTTCCAAGGTTATCCGCATGTGAGATGTTTATTTGGAGATCGACCTTGGATGTAACTTGATTCTGAAAAATGTGAGACATGTTCTGGACATTTGACTTCACTTGATCTCCCCAACTCCTTAAATGATGATGGTAACTACAATTCCTTCTATGATGGCAAATGGAAACCAACTAAAGGTTCCATAGTAGTGACTAAGGGCAAAAAGGCCTACACTCTCTACACCATGCTGTTGAGGAAAACTCCTATTGATTTTGAAGTTGACAAAACCTTCTATGTTATTGTAAATCTGATACTTATTCTGAACTAATTTATTCCAGGTATGTTTATTCTGGAAGCTCATAAGGAAGTTATTCAGACTTTACAAGCTGGCAAATATCTTATTAAAGACCCACATAATCTTAGTTCTGAAGACTCAGAAGCTGAAATTATTCAGACGAAGAAATTATTCAGAAGCAGACGCAGAAGTTCTTCAGACGCAGACGCAGAAGTTCTTCAGATGCAGACGCAGAATTTCTTCAGACGCAGAATTCAGAACGAGACAAAACAGCTAGTGATCTGGTATGGATTTCACAAAAGGAAAGCTTTGATCTCAATCAAATCAATTGACAATCAAAGACTACGACAAGCATGCATTACAACGGATAAAGCTCTACTTATGGAAACAAAGATTCTGATTGTATGGGCGACCAGAATTAGCGGGATTCAGAATCTGTCATCCAACGGCTACTCAATCCTTTCTATACAAATCTGTCCAAGGTGAAGATTGGAAGATGATCATCTGAATACTGTCCAACGGCTAGTTTGGAATTAGAGGAGTATTTAAGGAAATCAACGAGCAGCAGAAGGAAGTACAGAATCAAGAATCATCAAGTCCATAAGTCTAAGCATACTCCGATCATTTCTCTTGTCTTTCTGAGCCATACATTAAGATCTTGAGGGACACTTTGTAAGAGTGATTGTGTGAGATAGAGAGTCCTATCATACACAAGAGTGCCAACAGTCAGAAGTTGTAATTCCTCTTGATTATATAGTGAAATCCAGCCGGTAGGCTGTCAGCGTGGGAGAGTGGACGTAGGCTTGCTATAAGCCGAACCACTATAAATTTGTGTGCAGTTTTTCTATCCCTCTTCTCTCACTTTATACACTGCACATCAAGAGCACCGTCTACATAATCTGTCTTGAATCTGAATTTTATTCAGACTCTTCTGTGATTTGTTTTGTTTCCGCATAAATTATCAAAATTATTTAAGATCACCTATTCACCCCCCTCTAGGTGATCCTTGCTAGCTACATCACATGCAAGCTAAGTTGATCAAGGAAGAATTAAATGTAGTGGTGGACTCCACAATTGACCTATGACATATGAGACTTGGTTATCTCAGTGAGGAGTTCGAAACTCTTGCTAGAGAAAATCTTCTACCATTGAAGGACATAAATCTGAAGAAATGTACTCACTAGCTAACAGGTAAGCAATATAGATTCTCATTTCATAATTACTCTTCACGCACAAAATTAGATTTACTTGATTTAGTTCATGCGGATATTTGTTGCATGGATGCTAGAACACATGGTGGTGTATTATATTTTGTGACACTTATTCTAGAAAAGAGTGGGCTGTTGATTTGAATTCCAAAGACCAGGTGTTTGCAGCTTTCAAACAATTTCATGTCAACTTGAAAAGATAAACGAGAAGAAGTTGAAATGCGTTCGAGCTGACAACAACGATAAATATAGAGGCCAATTTAAACAATATTGCAGAGATTATGGTATCAAACTTGAGAAAAATGTTTCGAAAACACCACAACAGAATGGAGTAACGGAGAGAATGAGCCAGACAATTAATGATTAGATTTGGTATATGCTCTCTCATGCGAGATTGCATAAGTAATTCCGAGGTGAAATGAGGAGAGCAATAGTGGATTTGATAAACTTTTGCCATTAGTTCCTCTTAAGGGGGATGTTCCGCAAAGAGTTTGGAGTGGGAAAGATGTTTTATACAATTATCTGAAAGTGTTCGATTGCCAGGCATTCGTGCACGTTCCAAGAGATAAAAGGTCAAAACTTGATGACGAGTCTAAGCAATGTATCTTCTTAGGTTATGGACATGAAGAGTTTAACTACAAGTTATGGGATCCAGCTACGAAGAAAATTATTGGAAGCCGAGATGTTGTCTTCTTTGAGCATCAAACCATTGAAGACATCGACTAGCTAGGATGATCAAAGAACGTAGCTTAGCACTCTATTACTTTCACTCCAAATTCTCCTATCGTAAATGGTGGAAAACACGAGGGAGAAGTGCATGAAAATCATGAAGATGTTGAATCCTTATCAAATGTTGATTCTTTAGTTGAGACAAGTTAAATAATTGAGCTAGAACAATCAGTTGAGAAAGAGCATTCGGTTGAACAAACGAGCCAATTGAGCAAGAACAACCGGTCCAAACTCAAGTTAGAAGATATGCAAGAAAACGTAGACCTTCACAGAGATATTAGCCGCATGAATATGTGTTACTCATCAATGCTGGAGAGCCAAAAACATTTGAAAATGCTATGTCATGTAATCAAAAGAATAAGTGGCATAAAGCCATGCAAGAGCAGCTTAAATCCTTGCATGAAAACCGCACATTTGAATTGGTGAAGTTGCCTAAGAACAAGAGAATACTAAAAAATAAGTAGGTATTAAAGTTAAAGACGGAAGAAAGTAGTTTGCAACCACGATATAATGCTAGGTTTGATGTGAAGGGCTTTCGTCAAAGGAAAGAAATTGATTTTGAAGAGATGTTTTCCGGTTGTAAAAATACCTTCTATTTGAGTTAATCTTGAGTTGGTAGCCAGTTTAGATTTAGAAATCAAACAACTTAATATCAAGACAACTTTTCCACATAGAGACTTAAAGAAGAAATATATATGAAGCATCCAAAGACTTAAACTGTTGTTTTGGGGAGGTTGACCTCGAGGATGGCGATGATGAGGACACAACGATGGGCGGAGCTAAAAGATACATCAGTTGGTGGAGCAATCGTTAAGTCAAGTGACGCCAGTGGTTGACATATCTAGGGGATGGCGGACCAAGAAAGAAGAACATGCAAGAGAGTTGCAAGATGCATGGGAAGAAGAGAAGAAAAAAGGAAAAAAAAAAAGAAGAGGGAAAAAAGTTTTGTGTTGAGGTGGGAAAAAATAGATTATGTAGTTGTCAACTAGATCATTTTTACTTGACTAGACACTTCACCTTAGCAAAATCGGGTGATGTCAAACTTATTAGGATTAAGCGCACAAACCCAACGAATAGAGAGTAAATACGAAAAAGAGAAATCGAGACATAAGATTTATCCTGATTTATCTATCTAGGAGAGATTCTGCTACGATTAGCATCCCTACTTCTTTATTACAACTCTCAATTGCAATAGAAAGAGATCATATATAAGCAGCAACTATTCATGGATCCCAGTGCCTTCCTGTTAATGGGGAATATGAATCACACCCCAACAACGCTCACACATATCTCACATTGAGTCGAAGTTGTAGAGTCCAAGTACTCATTTGAATAGAAAACAATTCAGATACTTAATTAAGAAAGAGACAAACATAAAAAAATGCTTGCGGTGTCATTAACCCAAAAAGCCCAAAAAACAAATTTTGGAGGGAGGCAGATTATGCAATACTCATTTGACTAACGGATTTTAGCTTTTGAAGAGCAGTTAGAGCTGAAATGGGATGCAGGAAACACCATGGACGTTTGTAAATCTGGATCCAAGCTTCTCTTCTACATTCAGTCTTCTTTACACAATGTCCATATTTACGTAGGATCGTGTTTATTGTTATAATTGCATGGGAAGTGTGCAAAGCCTAGTTTCAATTCAACCAATCGACTTCTTTTCTGGTTGCTACCGTTGGACCTAATACCACACGATTCGAGGAAAAAGCAGTCATTAGATCAAAACAGGAGATTTGTGCCGCAGGATTCAACCAAAACTGAAGGGATAACCTAAATTGAATATCTCAGGTAATTAAAAAGGTGTATTAGGAACTTGGAAATGCGTAAGAAAGCAGATTGTAGAAACAAACTGTGTATCTTGCACACACTCAAAAGTTCAAAACAGCAGCGTTCTCACTAACTAATGAATTCTTACTGCAGAGAATTACACACATACGGATCATAATGCATGTTCAATGCACCTGTCAAATTATAATCTTCCCAAGTATTGGTAATATGCTTCAAAATCAGTGACAAACAAACTTAGCCAGACATTCGACCTCAATCTCCCGGTCAAAGTTTATTTGGACACCAAAGTTATTACTTGACATCATAACAGGCAATCTAATCAGAGTCTTCGGGAACCTCACGCTTGTTTTAAGGTGTTGCCAATATCTATCACAAACCGGTACTTGACATCGCCCTTGGCAAGGCGGTCCATTGCCGTGTTCAAATGGTCGATCGAGATGACCTCGATATCAGCGGTAATCTTGTGCTTTGCTGCAAAATCAATCATCTCTTGTGTTTCCTTCATTCCACCGATGCAACTCCCAGCCACAATCTTCCTCCCTTAAACCACAATCGAGCAGTATAATAATTTCAGTTTGTGTTTAGCTAAACAAGACATATGGCACTTTTAGCAAAATGTATAGGTTATATTAGTTGATTTAACATTATATTTGTGGCAAAGGAAATTCTTACCCATGATCAAGGGAAAGACGGGTAACTCGAGAGGCCGATCAGGAGCGCCGATGAGGACAAGTTTTCCATTGTGTTTGAGCAAACCAATCAAAGGCAACATTGGGTGCACTGCCGAAACCGTGTCGATTATACCATCCATTGTTCCCATCGCAGCCTATTGACCAAAAAAGTTCCAACACAAGCTCAAATCACATACCACAGCAATCAGCAAACCGGGCTTTTTAATGCTGAATCCCTCACCAGTCATTAACACACTGATATTAATTGATAGAGTACCCACTGTACAAACAATTAGGTTATTGGGTACTTCACGAACTAAGAATATGCTCACTTAAAATTGAGTTCCTCGTTGTCATTGCCAAAGAAACAAGAAAAGAAGCAATAGCAATGCCCCAATCCAGACATCACCTGAATTTGATTGATGTCGCTGCTCACAAGGAATGCATCGGCACCGAGACGCTGGACTGCTTCCTCCCTCTTCCCAGGAGAGGAGCTGATCACGGTCACCTTGACCCCCATTGCCTTCGCAAATTTCACTGCAACATGCCCCAGCCCACCGAGGCCCACCACGCCCAAGTGGACCCCTGGGCGGTCGAGCCCAAAGAACCTCATTGGGCTATAAACAGTTATCCCGGCACAAAGCAAAGGAGCGCCAGCATCAAGAGGCATGTTTTGCGGGAATTTGATGGCGAAGTGCTCATTCACCACCATCATGTTGGAGTATCCTCCGTAGGTCATTGTCCCGTCATGGTAAATGGCACCATAAGTCAGTATCATTTTGGGGCAGTAATTCTCGAGATGGTCGTGGCAATTATCGCAGGAGCCGCATGATCCGACCAAGCAACCCACTCCCACTTTGTCTCCCACCTTGAACTTCTCAACCTTGCTTCCGACCTCCACGACTTCACCCACTATCTCATGCCTGCATTTCAAATATATTAAGATGTATGTAAGTATGAAGAAATCAAAAGCTTAAAGTTTTAGATATGTTTAATTTTTGTAAGACTTTGTGATCGATGTGCATCTGGTGTTTAACATTTCATGTCTTACTAAAGCTTGTCCTGCATCTAGCTGCACCGCCTATATTGAGTTTCACAGGTGAAGATGAACTGCAGAAGTTGGACTCATGAGTGACCTCACTGTTGAATTGGGGGATGAAGAAGATCCATTAACTTCGTCTCAGCAAGAAAAACTAGTTCTTCCATTGTTGTCGCTTTGCTTATACTAATTGTAACCTAATCAATGGAACCTAAATCAAAATGAAGGGTAATAGTGGGTTTTGACCGGCTAATTGGCCCAAGAAATGTGTTCTATCAATACCGACGTGTAGGGACTAATATGACCCATTGGTGACATGGTTGAAGCTCGATTTGGGAGTCATGAAATTGGCCTAAGCTTCAACCAAAAAATTGACATGAACAACATAATCCAATTTTTGTGCGGGAGTTGACCCTCCGATGCTTAAGTTAGTGTTTGAAGGAGAGAGATAAAGCTCGTAGAACTATGAGCAAAAATAATAAGGGGCCATGCTCTAACCGTGTGTTTAGATCGCTATATGTAGGTAACTCTTTTAGCGAGTCATTGGGTGACACTTGACAGGTAGAGGCTTTCGAACGACAAATGGATTGGATGGCTGGACAGATGGAGTGTGCATCACCCTTAGAAGTCAGTAAATGTCCAGTCTCACATATAGTGGTCGCATCATCTTCTCCTCCAATGTGGTTGTCTCAAAGTGGTGTCATGCATTTCCTATTGGGCAATGCTTGGATAGTAAATGAGGATTGATGATTCAATCTCAATGCTTGAATAGTAAATGGCTCTAAGATAAGTTATTTTCTTTCAATCAGTACTAGTAAAATTGTCAATATGAATAACTGATGTAGTATAATAGCCAATCATTTTAGTGTTATGCGGAAAGTAAATGTGAAAAATCTTACTTAAAATCTAATCAGTCAACGGTAAGAGGACCGGTATAGTTGCAAACATAAGTGGGAAAAGTATAACAAAGTCCTAAAACTATTGCATTTGTATCAATTCAGTCCAAAATCTTTTAATTTGACAGATTGAGTCCTAAACCTTTTCATATTTGTGCCAATTGAGCCCATCCGGCCAATTCAGCCAGAAATTGCTGACGTGGACGTCGTACGTCCTACATGGCACAGTCGATGCTAACGTGAACAATTTTTTAAATATTTTTTTGAATTTTTTTAAACTTTTTCCCTTTTTTTCTATTTTATCCTTTCCTTTTTTGTTTTTCCTTTGGCTGGTACTCGGCCATGGCCGGTCGCTGGCCATGTCTGAGTACCAGCCATAGGCCAAAGGAAAAGGAAAGGAAAGGAAAAAAAAAAAGGGAAAAAATTAATTAAAGATATGAAAATCATTAAAATATTATAAAAAATTATTCATGTTAGCATCAGTCATTTTACGCAAGATGGCTAGCTTCCACATAAGTTATTTTCTATTTAAATTAGCTAGATGGACTCAATTAGTACCGATGTGAAAATGTTTATGATTAAATTAGTCAAATTGAAAGGTTTATGACTGAATTGGTACCGAAGCAATAAATTTTGGACTTTTTTGATACTTTTCCCACATAAAGTACATGAACTAAATTTGAACACTCTAAAAAATGCCATGACCAAAAGTTTAATTTGGGATTTGAGCTTGGCTAAGGTTAAGGGACGCCCCTCCGAGCGTCGACGCCAGCCCTTGCCACAATCAGGCAACCCCCACATGGTGGTCAAGGCCCCCGTAGGGCTATTACACCGCCCCCCCAGCCCCCCCGGCCCCCGCCCCCCGCCCGCTCCCATCTCTCTGTGATATGTTGATCTGAGGCAACGGACCAATACACGGGTCATTGTCCCAACACCCAAGCGTGACCCGCAGTGGTCGCACTCGCTATTTGCCCGACTTTCAAGGCAACAACAGCTAAAACTCTCCAGAAAAAAAACGAGAGGAAGTGCCTTTCTTCTCGTCACTTCAAGTGAAAGTAGATGGCGATACGCGAAGACTTCTTTTGGACGGCCATGTCCTGATCTTCGTGGCCAGATTTATGTCGTGCATTTCGTCTCTTAAATTAGCACTAACAATACAGTAAATCGAGTCGGACCGATCGAAAAGGATCAGACCAGTCTCTACGATCTTGACCGAGTCTTCAGGCGTGAAAAACGCAACAGTTTATCCAGAAGCAGAGGCTGCATATCTTTGTGTGTGTGTTTTTATAATATTTTAATCTGTTCTTGATCCAAAAGATTAAGAACGTAATAGCCCCAAGAATCTACGTGATTAAACTTCAATTAAATAAAGAATACATTAGTCAACACGGTACTTTCAGACAAAAAAATAAAATAATAACTTAAAGTACGAGGAGCAGAGCAAGAAAAACACACAAAAAAAAAATAAAAAACAGAGGAGATTAAAGAAAAGGGAAGAAAGATTACCCAGGAACAAGGGGATAAGTCGAGAATCCCCACTCGTTCTTCACGCTGTGGAGGTCGCTGTGGCAGATCCCGCAGAACAGCACTTTGAACTTCACGTCTTTCTCTCCGGTCGCCCTAGATTTGACATCGAACAAGTATGCAGAAAATCAAATCGATGATGATCGCCATGTTCTTGTTAAAAAGCAGTCTGTAAGATGGTGTGAGCCATGGTGCGATTCCACCATAGGAAGGAGAACGACCCATCAAGGGAGAGAAGACAAGGGGGAAAGGGAAATAACCTGCGGGAGAATTTGAAGGGAGAGAGGAGGCCAGAGGGATCTCTCGCAGCCCAGCCGAAAGCCTCCTGCGGGTGCTCTTGCTCTGGCGACTTCGCCATTCTTTCCTCCTGATGCAATGCGAGGATCTTCTTCTTCTTCCTGTTTTCTCGGAAAATGGGTCACGAGAAGGAAAACGCGGTGGTGATGGAGGGGGAATTTGTGCGCTTGTTCAGAGATTATATAGAAGAGAGTCGGCGAAGTGGGAGAACACTTCACACGTGGAATCTGTTTTGTACACTTGTTCAGCATTTTCAGTAAAAATTTCATTAAAAGAAGCGAGGTAAATACCGGATACATTAGAATCTTTTAAATTGAATGTTTTACCATTGGAAAAATGAGACAAATAATCCCCTAATTTTTACTTAGTATAGAATGTAATTTCTGAACTTTCAAGGTATTTTATTTGATGGAGTATAAAACACAACTTTTGCTATGAATAGGTGCCTTAAATAAGTGTATTCCATCAATGCACGTAAAATATTTTATTTTCATAAAAAGTGTCACTTATCGTAAAGTTGTGACTTTTCATAGAAAATACATTTTTAGCATTTAAATAATTATTAAATCTTACGTCAACTTCAACTCGACATAATATTTGAGTGATTCGGGCTTGAGCTCAACTCAAAGTCTGGTGAGTCGACCTTGAGCAACGATCAAAAGGTAATCCATCTCATGAAGCATGGCTCTACCAATGTTGTCCTCTGGTCCCAATGTCATTATTTGGCCGCAGGTTTGATCGAGCGACGGTGAAACTAATTGACAGAAGGAATTGATTCGTCAACGAGCGGAGAGGCTGGGGTAGGTTCCACCAATTGTAGAAGAAGAGATTCCATTCGAATTTCTCATATAGTAGTTTCGGGGGTTAGTGTTGTGAACAGGCTTTCCCTTCAAATTATTGTATTGGGAATCCAGACCACAGTATCGATTCTCTGATGTCGACTTAAAGGGGAATAGCTCGAATTTCTGCTGCAACACCGCCCCTAAGAAGGCGTTTTGCGCCTGATTAATTAACTCATGAACAAAACTCAGGATCATCGTCCTTAACAGGTCTTGAGAGACTTCTTGTTTTAGTCGCACATGAAACAAAAGGAGAAAGAAGTTTTGGTCGAAAAGCGAAAAAGGGGCTCATATTATATTATAATATATGTTGAGAATTGTCTGGCTCATAATAAAGGAATTTAAAGTGCTAGTACTGGAAATTTAAAGAGTACGGGAAGATAAGAATGGCAGAAATTTAAAGGCGATGGAAGAGTCAATTTGTACGAATTGAAAGAAATAATTGTAGGTGCAGAAGAACTTGATTTCTGATATTAATTGTGTGTACAAAGAAGTTACAACGTGGACGTTTATATCCCACTAGCAGCAGTTACTTACAAACAGTCAGTAATTTTGAATCTGCTAATAACTTCCTAACGTTATTTACAGTTATTCATAAGCACTTCCCGAGATCCATAAGAAGTTACAACTTCCGAGATCATCCGAACAACCAGCTGACAATCATGTGCTTGTGTAGATTCATCTTCTTTGTCTTCGATCTCCAACACCGAGCAAAATATGCAAAAACTGGCTATCAATAACCTTGATATCCTTAGGGTTTGTGATGTCTCGATAGTAAAACAAAGCCATGTAGTTTACTTCTTGTTTCTTACTTTCGAGCTTTTAATTGGGAATGTAAATGCTATCGTTATTTTCCCGCTCAAGATAGGCTTAAGAAGATGGATCTTGTAATAGTTTTGAATTGTGGCATACCAATGCATGATTAGATCTTTGGCCCGCGTGTCAGGTTGATCTTTGGACACACACCTTCTCCCACGTTAAAATAGGTTATACTCCTTGTATAGCAATTGAAACTCGAGACTTAGTGGAAAACGAATAAGTGGTCGAGCCTTACATAGACTTTAAGTTCATAGCAAGAGATATCTCGTCGAGAAAGCGACATCGATGTTGAGCACTAGGGTGATCTAGTGTAATCCAGTTATCCAATTTAGAATCTCTAATTTATGCAGACTAGTAGCTTTGGTCTAAGTTCGAGACATATATGATATATCCCACGCCATGACTACATCTTGATAGGTTCGTCATTGACCTTTTAATAGGTTAGTGACGACTCCTAAGTAGAATAATCACAATAAAATCTCAAATTGCAATGCGACCTGAATTTGGGAGAATCCAAACAAGGTATGCGCCTCCTCACTCCATAAGGGACCAACAATGCTTTGTCGCTTGTTGACCTTCTCGGGCCTGCCTCGGGAGGGTCACAACGATAGAGAGTTGCTATGGCTTGACCAGAAATGAAACAATACAGACTGAACAGTTCAAGAGGTTATTGACATTTTTAATAGCACCACCAAGAAAAAAAATGGGGTAGTCTGCAAAGAGTAGGTGCAAGAGCGTGGGGCAGCAGTTTCGACTCAACTTAGGATGCATTTGGACAAATACTTTAAGCTAAAGGATTTTCATGAAATGCAAATAATGTTTCCTAAACTATAATTAAAAAGTATATTGAGAAGAGACGTTGATTTAACTTCCTTCCTAGCTCTTCACAGAAACCTTTTCTTTCATCCTTCAAGTTTCAGGCTACGATGAACTCAAACGTTTGCTTTTTTGAAACCCCCCAATCAAAAGGAATGCCCAAATGCTTCCTGGATCGTGCAATCTTTGGAAGTCTCAGAGCGTTGGCTACGTTTCCACGTACGTTGACATTACCCATAGGTCATGTAGCATTTTCCAAAAAAATTGGAACTTATTTCCTGCAAAAGTATTTTATTTTGTTAACTGTTACATACTTGCATTTTAGATTATATTGGAGTCAGGTATTTAGTAGTGTTTCCAAAAATCAGCATTAAATTTCGAGAAATTTATTTCAAACCAAAAAAACAAGATAGAAAAAATACTAATAGACAAATACTATATATTCTTTAGCACGGCTGGTATGCACTTTTCAACTTAGAGATTCATAGCCCATGTTAAATGTGCGCATTTACTTAACAGGTCAAGACGATGCACGCTATCTCTAGCAAGATTCTCAATTCTGGTGGTTGTCAAATCCATAAAACCCATGTCTGATCTCAACACAAAACAGCCGAGTTAATTCATGCTATCAAACTTCTTTCGATTTGATGAGTCAAATCCAATTGGCTAGAGATTTGAGATATTAGATATGCAAGTTTGTGCAAATTTGACGGAGGACGATTACTGTCCAGATTTTTTTTTGGTCAAATACTATCTGTTGAGGTTGTCCCCCATCGATTGTGGAAGAGGATGGTGGTGGTCAGTTCATAACTGTGAGGGAATATTTTACCTTTTAAGCTAGCTTTTGGGATAAGAGAGGCTCAAGACCAACCAACACTGATATCAAAGTCCAAGTTGCTAACAAGTTTGGACTCAATAATCACACAGGAGAGTTATGGGTTGTGAGAGAATGTTGAGTTTGTCCCACATTGGTTGTGGAAGAGGATTGCGAGGGAAAATCTCACATTTTGAGCTAGCTTATGAGGTGAGAGAGACCCAAGATCACTAAACACTATCCATGTTTGAATTACTACTAAATTGCATCATTTTAGGTGAGGCTTGGACTAGATTATGCTTGATCGAGTGACTAGATGATGGTTGTGCTTCCGTATTTGTTCGGACCCACATTTTGACAAGGAAAATTGACAAGAGTCGTGGAGATTGGGATAAAAAACGCGCCGACCACATTTGATGCCGTGCTCATTTTGTCTTTTTTAATTGACTTATATGTGCTCTTTGGGCTTGGTGTCTGTCCAACATCGTAGTTTGGTGACTACCATTGAAAAATGTTTTAAATATGAAGTTTGGTGTCAAAACAAGACTGTCTTATGTTCGATTTGCTGCCCGTTCATACAATGGATGGCATTTCACGTGTCTTTGGGTTTTTGAGTCGTGCATACATTCAACGACATGTTTTATCTATCAAACGTTGTCGCCGATTTTATTTCATGCAATGTCGTGTTCGGCTAGTTTCTTTACCCGATGCATACACATGATATCCTTGGGGTTTGTGATGTCTCGGGAATTAAAACAAAGCCATTTAGTTTATTTGAAGTCCCTTTACTTTTGAGCTTATAATTGGAATTGTAAATGGCTATTGTTATTTTCTTGTTCGAGACAGGATTAAGTCAATGGATTTTGTAATAGTTCCGAAATGTGGCATACGAATGCATGATTAGATCTTTGGCGCATGTGCCTAGTTAACTTTTGGACCCATACCTTCCCGTATTAAAATGGGTACATACTCCTTGTATAGCAATTGAAACTCGAGACTTAGTGGAAAAAGAACAAGTGTTAGAGACTCAAACAGACTTTAGGGTCATAGCTAGAGATATCTTGTCGAGAAAGTAGCATCAGTCCCGAAAACTAGGGTGTTCTAGTGTAATCCAGTTTTCCAATTTAGAATTTCTAGTTTACACAGACTAGTAGCTTTGGTATAAGTTCGAGACATATATCCCATGCCATGACTACATCTTGGTAGGTTCTTCATTGACCTTTTAATAGGTTAGTGACGACTTCTAAATAGGAGAATCATGATAAAAATCTCAAATTGGGATGTGGGCCGGATTTGGGAGAATCCAAATTAGGTATGCGTCTCCTCACTCCATAAGGGACCAAACGATGCTTTGTCGCTTGTTGACCTTCTCGGGCTTGCCTTGGGAGGGTCACAACGATAGAGATTCGCTAGACAATTTTTTTTGAAATAAATCCTCAATTTGTTAAGATTAATGGCTTGACCTGAAACGAAACAATACAGATTGAGCAGTTCAAAAGGTTATTAACATTTTTTACAGTACCTCCAAGAAAAAAGATGGGATCATTTGCAAAGAGTAGGTGTGATAACGGAGGGCAGCAGTTTCGACTCAACTTAGGGTGCATTTAGGACTGCATTTGGAAAATGTATTTGCATAATTGCAAAGGACTTTAGATTAAAGAATTTTGACGAAATGCAAATAATGTTTGATAAACTATAATTCAAAAGTATAATGAGAGGCCACGTTGATTTAACTTCGTTCTCAGCTCTTGACAGCAACTTTTTTCTTCCACCTTTCAAGTTTCATGCTAACCCTAGCTACGATGAACGCAAACATTAGCTCCTTTGAAACCCCCCCAATCGAAAGTATTGCCCAGAT